GAAGGTTTCACAAGTGGTGGAAGAGATGAAAGGCTCATAAAGGACATTTTAAGAGGTTCAGGAGCCATTAGTACTCCATTAAAGGCAAAAGCCCCTTTTTTCCCTAAGATTTAAAGGCAGTTTTACAGCAGCAAAGCTAACGGTTGGCATATTGAATCTGTTAAGAGCAGCAATCTGGCTAGAGGCACACAGGGTCAAAAAAGGCAAGCTGAGACCTCAGCTTTGGTTGCAAGGACTCCATTCTGAGCCTTTACCCAGGCAGTCCTCAACTTATGACCACGGTTGAGCCCAACAGTTTTGTTGCTAAGGGAGACATTTACAAAGTGAATTTCGCCCTATTTGACATCCGTCCTTGTCACAGTTGTTAAGTAAATCACTGCAATTGTTAAGTAAGCGACACAATTATTAAGTGAAAGGAGATGGCAACTGTCATAAGTACAAGTCAGTTTCCAAGCGTCTGACTTTTGATCCCATGACCATGGGGATGTTGCAATGGTCATAAGTGTGAAAAATGGTCCTAAATCACTTTTTTTTCAGTGCTATTGTAACTCTGAACAGTCACTAAAACCAGGAGTCCCCAAACTTGGCTACTTTAAGACTCATGGACTTCAACTCCCAGAATTCCTCAGCCAGCTATGAATTGAAGTCCGCAAGTCTTAAAGTGGCCAAGGTTGGAGACCTCTGCACTAAACGAACTGTTGTAAGTAGAGGACTACCTGAAAATGATCCTGCTTGCAATGTATGGAGGAATTTGCTTATACAATTTATTTATTACATTTATAGGCTGCCCATCTCCCTCTTGAGTGACTCGGGGTGGCTTACAACATCATAAGAAGATCTTAAGAATAACATCGTAAGAAGAATAAAAACATTCAACTTAAAAAAAAATTGGGGGAACTAGGCACCAATACGTGAGTGGGATTCAAGCTGGATCTTCTTAGTCCACAATAAGCATTATTTACCGAAAGGATTTAAAAAAAATAGGATTCCTAATTAGCTTGGCAGCCTTAATGATCATGGATCAGAAGCCACTTAAATTGGTGTTGCCTTGACCTGAGGAACTATTAAGGTGGGTGGACTTCAGCTCCCAGAATTCCCTAAATCCCTGGGGCATTCTGGGAGTTGAAGTCCACCCATCTTAAGATGTGAAATACTGACTTAGATCAGGGGTCGCCAACCTTTTGGACCTCAGGGACCACCAAACTCATCATTTTAAATCCCACGGACCAGAGACCCTGGGAAAATCCCCCAAAAAGTCTGCAGGAAAATCCCTCACCCCATTTTCCTAACGGTCGATCGTTCTTTATTTGGGATTGTAGGATACTGTCTCCAGTTCCGTTCTCACGGGGAGAAAGAGAGGGAGACTTTTGGCTTCATGCAAGGAAAGCAGCAGAAGTGGCAGAAGTCCTTCTTTCTCTCCCCCAAACTCTGCCAGAAATGAGTCTTTGTGAGCCTCTTGGAGCAAGGAGGCCTTGCAGGGTCCCAAAGACTCATTTCTGGCGGAGTTTGGGGGAGAGAAGAAAGACTTCTGCTTTCCTTGCGTGCAGCCAAAAGCAGAAGAAAGAAAGAAAGAAGCAGCCGGTGGCCAGGCCAGGCGCGTGGGGCAAGTTCCCCCCTCCCCTCACTACCTCGTGTTGTTCGCAATGCAAGCGACACAAGCCTTGTGTTCCTGCGCAGCCTGGATTAATTGCTTTTTTTCTCTGCGGACCACCAAAATTTTCTCATGGATCACCACTGGTCCCCGGTCCACTGGTTGGTGACCACTGACTAAGATCATTCAAAACACAACTGGCAGACTGGAAACAAAAGAAAAACCTTCCTTTTTTTTTTTAACATGACAAAGATTCCTCTGCCTTTCCCCCCAGAAAATGAGACCAGACTGTTATCAGAAATTCTCTCTCTTTTTTTTAACGCAAGTATTTTCAAACTGATACATCCCTACCACTTGCCAGAACATCATTTCCTGTGTTTCATAGCTGTTCCCTGTTCTTAACTGCCAATTTGGGGGAGATGTTCTAAAGGTTTCCAGGATGCTCAGGGCCCGCGGGGGGCTCTCAAATTTGGCTCTGAAGAGGCCTGATACAGATGCCACGTGACGCAGGCAAATTCGTGCCGATCTCGGTGGAGCTTTAACTCACGAGCCCTCACCGTAAAAAACAACAGTTCAGGGTGAGGGGAAAGGAAAAAAGGGGGCTGAAAAATGAGCAAAGTCTAATCTTTCTCCTGCAGGTTTGAAACTCTTCACGGTCAAATAGCTCCCGGTGAAGGTTTTCATTGTTCTTTATGAGTGGGGGAAATCGAATTGGCTTCGGGGGGGAATATCCCCTTTCTCCGGAATTAGGCAGGGCCTGCTCACTAAAAAGGCCATTGTTTGAACCTGGACTGAAAGATCTCCAGGTGAGAAGATTTTGAAGAAATCAAGAAGCAATATTTCCACGGCAAAGAAATAAACCTATTTTATCCCTCTGCTCTTCAGACAGATTACCATCAACCCACAGCCATAAAGTAATACCAACGGCTCAAATCCGTTGGATGGTTCAATGCCTACAGAGACTCTCAACCATCCAGGTCATGGTTGTCCCAAAGGTGCCTTTTTCCCCCCGCTCTCCAAAAGGCAACTATACTTTTTTTTTTCCTTTGAAAACTTTTGGCTGCAGAACTGAAGAAGTTCCTTGGGTGAGCAGTGAAATCGGGTGGGATTCTACCTGGTCGGACTGGTTCTATAGAACCGGTTGTTATGATTCTGCCCAGTTTGGAGAACCGGCAAATTGTGCCCCTGGCTGGCCCCTCCCACTTACTCCTTACCTGGCATGCACGCCATCAAACTTGCCTGTTTAGTAAGTTGCTATTTGTCCTTTTTTCCCCCCCTTATCATCAGCTGCTGTGCCCGGAGATTTAGCTTAATCTAAAAGCAGAGCTGCACCTTCCTTAGGACTGAAGCTTCTATTTTTCAGTGCAGACTCAGGTAGCAGATTGCAGAAAGATAGATCTCTGAATGAATCTGTGATTTTGTGAGCGACTCAATCTGCCTGTCTGCTTTGCCTGATTTGGGGTAAAAGTTGCTCCTTTTTAATTAAAAAAAAAATCAATATTTACATAAGCATTTATAATATTTACGTACAAGCCATGCCCACCCAGTCACATGACCATTAAGCCACGCCCAGTCAGCAAGCCACGCCCACCCAGTCACATGACCAAGCCACAGCCATAAATTAGGCCACGTCCACAGAACCATTTGTTAAGAAATTTGAATCCCACCCAAGTGAAATGTTTACAAAGGAGAAAACCAAGAAAGTCCCATTGATTTTTTTCTTTTAAACCATTCTTTGAGACATGTGGATGGTTCTATCTTGGACAGCAGTGAAAGATAAAAAGAAATTTACGACACGTCTGCAAGAATAATCGGATCCATTTTTTCACCTTGGCCCTGAAGAGACTGTACACTTTAAGAGTGATTTTCATGAAACTCAACTGAATTATCCGGGATCAATTTTAAGTCGAGGGACTTGTTTTTCTTAAAGTACTTTCAACAATTCACTTAGTGACCGTTCAAAGTTACAACGGAGCTGAAAAGAGCGACATCGGACTGTTTTTCACACTTACGACCATTGTAGCCTCCCAATGGCTACATGATCAAAATCCAAAGCTTGGCAACTGGCTCATATTTATGACGGTTGTAACGTCCTGGGGTTACGTGATCGGCTTTTGCGATCTTCTGAAGAGCCAAGTCAATGGGGGAGCCAGGTTCACTTTAACAACCATATCATTCACTTAACAAATGCAATGATTCACTTAACAACGGTGGCAAGAAAAGCTGTAAAATGGGGGCAAAGCTCACTTCATAAATGTTTCACTTAGCAACATACATTTTGGACTCAATTGTGTGATCGTAACTCAAGGACTACGTACTTAGTCCAGCTAGAAACAAAAGGGAAATTCTCGTTTGTCTGAAGGCCACCAGACTGCAACCTAACTTCCCTTCTCTCAAAAACAAACCTTGAAAACAGATTCTAATTGATTTTAGTCCGTCTTGTTTTTCAAGCCGGCTGTGAATTCTAAGTGCGCTTAAGTACAGGCGTTCAGGAATGATTTATTTGCCTGGCGGATCTGTCATGTTTTATGTATGACCCAGCTTGAAGCACTCTGTGCTTCTAGCTACCTAGAAATATACCCTAGGAAGTGTAAAAGTTTAAGGTGCAAAGCACGGGGATTTCAACACTACTTAGGTTTGTGCTACTCCCTTCCACTCCTGATGTAACCCTTGAGGAATATATGCATAAATTATAAAGTTATGCGCATGTATTCAGATGTAAAAGAATAAGTAGACTAATGAAACTGGGATGCAAACCCACTTTGGAAAGCTACATGTCAATGGCTGGAAAAAACGGGGTAAAGATTAGGAATATAATGTGTATTGTTAAGCAAAGAAAATAACCCAGACAACACGATGTTTATTAAGCACTAATTAAATGTAATAGTAGAAGATTAATAAAATATGTATGTATGTATGTGTCAGCTTTGGAAGCCATATTGAGATCCAATGCTCCCACCTTGCAATACCTGTGGGAGGGGGGAATATATTGGAGTATATCTAGTGAAACATAATAACATTCTTTTTCTGATTCAAGGTCAGGTTCTTTTGCACCGAAGTGAGAGGAAGTCTCAAGTTGGGATGGATGGCGATTGGGGCATGTGATGGATGATGGGTGCAGGGGATGGATTTGTAGTTTTTTACTTAGTGCAAGGAAGCCCAGAACTTTCTGATTCGGGATTCCCCAGTTGTGCCAATTACTATCCAAATAAAAGGAATCTTTTGTCTCGATGTTTGTCTCAGAGTTATTGGGTGGAATGAGAGTTGCTGGAACGCTGATTGTATGTATGTATGTATGTATGTATGTATGTATGTATGTATGTAAAAGAATACCACAGCTTAAACCCTCTCCACTTAAAGAAAAAAGAACAAAAAAGGGAGACATATCCAGGGACTCTCGGCCACTTACCCCGAGCCGGACGCAACTCCGTGATGTTCTCAGAGGTTTCGTCATCGGAATCGCCTCCAGTGGCTACCACTTTGTATCGATTGCCCGTCTGTTTCTTAAGCATGTGAGGCACCTGCAAAGCTGCTTCCCTCTCAGCTGCCAGGTCCAAGTCTTGCTGGGCCAGATGTGCCCGCAGTTGTCGAATTTCAAACTGAAGAGAGATTGGGGGGGGGGGGGAAGAGGGAGGGAGAGAGAAAAATTAGAGGTTTTTCTTTTAACATGTGCAATGTGAAGAGGTGTATTGCGTGTAACAGAAGATGTCCACACAAGGCACAGTGTTCTGATAGTGCATCCTAAAAGGGCATCTCGGCATCAGAGTTTGAAGGCCACATACCTGGGCACCACCTGTAAGAATGGCCAGCTTCACCTCTATGCACAGTTCCAGTTTGGAAAGGCCTTTAGGATGATGTAACAATGGTTCAAGGGCTGCCAAAGGCTGTCAAGGGGTTGACTCCCCCCGCCCAATCCACAAATAATTTGGAGAGAAAATATTAAATAAGCATCCAGAATTGCATAAGAGTGCCTTTGCTGCCACCCTGTGGCCAAAAGGCATAAGTGCAGCCTGGCAGTCAAGCATGGAGCATGGAGCATTGGCTAACGAAGAAATGGGCAGAGTAAACACCAGGATGCAGTTTCTGGCACCCAGATTTTAATTTTTTTTTTTAAAAAAAAAAACCTTGTTCCATTTAGGCTAAAGGCATAAACATAGCAATTCTATGACTGCAGCCTGCGTACTGATTTTTGAAGATTCAGCCAAAGAGGTTTTCTGTTTCCTAATTTTTCGCTGGCATCAGAGGAACCAAACAATGATTTTTTCATCGTTTTGAAGGTCAGAAGGTCACAAAAGGGGAATCATGTGACCCTGGGACACAGCCACCGTCATAAATGTGAGCCAATTGCCAAGCATCTGAATTTAGATTACGCGACCATGGTTACTTTGAACAGTCACTAAATGAACTGTTGTAAGTCGGGGACTAGCTGTCTAACCAACATTTTAGAAGCCTGTTTCATACCCTAAGTCAGGGGTCTTCCAATTCGACAGCTTTAAGACTGGTGGACTTCAACTCCCAGAATTCCTCCTCCAGTCATGTTAGCTCAGGAATGCTGGGAGTTGAAGTCCACAAGTCTTTAACTTGCCAAGTTTGAAGACCCTTGTGATAGATGATAGATAGATAGATAGATAGATAGATAGATAGATAGATAGATAGAT